GTTACATTCATCAAGAGCTTTCATTTGAGTACCCACATGCATTTTTGATATATTTTTCATATATACATATATATAATATATATAAATATATGAAAAATCGATGTGGGTACTCTAATAAAAGATCTTGATGAGTTTAACATCGGAATGAGCTTGTATCTTTAAAAATGCCAATAGTTCTCAAGAAAAAAGGTCATTTCTTAATTATGTATCTAGAGATTGAGAATTTTTGAATTCAAGTCAAGACCTTTCCAATGACACTAAATTTAACTAAAAAAAACTGATTGTATTGTATGACTTTCCTGGACACAAAATTTTTCTTATTCTTTTAATAATATTAAAATTATAAATAAAATTTCGTGAAATAGTGCCGCATGGCGAGAACATAACCAAAAATTGGCAAGCCGAATATATATCTTTATTTTTAATTACTAAAAAATACTCCAATTATTATTATTGATTACTTTGGAGATTAAATTAGATAAAAGTGAAAAATTTACCTCGGGAATAAATATTTCAAGTGATTCGTCCTGTTGTCCTGTTTCGTCAGATCGTCGAGACGTGAAAAAAAACTTTTTCACTTGCTCGGCAGCGACTCCATCGGACATTAGGCTACTCGCTGACGGACTCGTTTCGAACCAAATACTTTCTTCCTCTAAACCAGGCATTACTGGACAGTAAACTTGGCATATTAATTATTTTTCACGCACTCCATAATAATACTGACTGATTCACTTAAAATTATAATTGTTTTTATTATTATTTTACAATTATTGAGAGGTAATTGGGAGCTAGCTTGGCCCCAGTTGTCGACCAATGACAACGCGCTTTTTTATTTACACTCCTGTGCTTTAATTTACGTAGAATTGGAATTTTTCTGAAGACTTTTAATTTGTTTTAATGAATCTAAAAAAAAGTTCAAGAATATTTTTTTAATATTTAGTTGCATAAATTTTATTATAAATTAATTTATATTAATATATTACTTACGGTAAGTTCGTTCATGTGACAGGTAATTCAGATTGGCGCGCTGTGATTTAACTTTTGGTTTATAGATGGCGCAACACTCTTCTTAAAAATGACAGTTAATTAAATCAGCAGACACTTCAACTACAAGTGCAATTTTGAAAAAAATATTTTTAAGTTTTAATTTACTTAATGAATGAAAAATAATTAAAAAATTAAAAACGTTAGCTGACTTTAGTATTTTTAAAAAATTGGCATTTAGAAATTAAAAAAAATTAAAAGTGCTTACTTTAATGTCATATAAATTTTTGATAAAAGTTTATCATAATAATTTATGAAAATTAATTTAGCAGATATTTTATAATTTTAAGAATTATTTTAAAAAATAAATTATGTCAAAGAAAATGCCAAAAAAAATATGAAAATAAAAATAAACGACATTTGAAAATTTTTAGAATTTTTTTTATTAAAAAATTTATTACAAAAAAATTTTTAAAAAAATGCCACTTGTAAAAAACTTCATAAAGTGTGAGTGAAATTTTTAAAAAATATTTTTCTGTTTCAATTTAATTATTAAAAAAAATTCAAATAATTAAAAACGTCGGCTAACTTTAGGATTATAAAAAAATTGACATTTAGAAAATCAAAAAAATAAAAAATGCAATTTTTTAGAAATAGTTTTTTGGAGGAAATTTATTTATTAAAAAAAAATTAAAAAATGGTCAAACAATTATTAATTTTAATATCATTAATAATTAATAATTTCTGAAAAAAATTAAGAAAAAAAACTTAAAAAATTGTTAAAACATTATTAAAAAATAAAATAAACTTTTTTAAAATAAAAAAATATCCAGACGACTGGTAGTGTGGCTGAACTAGTTCAGCTACCCTGAAGCGAACTATTCTCCAAATGAGGGTACTATTAAGAAGATAATGGATGACTGGTCAATTCCTATAACATAATTGATGGTCATAAGGCTAATAAATTTCTCTAAATTACCTGTCAAGTTAGTTAGTAAATAAGTATTTAACAAAAAAGGATAACATCTATTATATTATTTCTTGATAATCTAAAAAAAAAGAGCGACAATTAATCTTATTTGTTAAAATTTTAATTAGATGATTATTTATCGCGGTTTCATATCCGGCATGAAAATCAAGAGTCGGCTTTACTTGTCACTACAACTTGGACGATTACCCTGCAACCTACAACTTAAGCTTGAGATAAATTAACCACCAGCATAAATATGAAAAGAAGTATAAGTGATCTATGCAGAACAAGGAAGTACTAATTGTCGAGGCAATCACGCGAATGATGTAAGGCCGGATGTAGGAATGAAAGTACTCCGTTATCTTTCGCCACGCATTATATTATATATATTATACCTACATTATAATTGCCGTGGATTTTATTCTTATTTGTTATGTTTTATGTTATAGTCACAACACGATAAAATCACCCGTGTTAAAAATTTACACACGTCCAGTTGTGTTAGTCATATCACATCGTATCACCAGCTCAACTCGGCTGTTTGTGTATATCACGCAACCAATAATCTTGGAATAGGAAGTATCAAGTATCGTGTGTACTTAAATCATAACAATCTGAGCTCAGGCCGTCTAGTCATAAAAGCTAAAACCAACAAAACAAGATAAAGAACAAAAAGCAACAATAAGCCATTTTAATTTATATTATTAAGAGAATAAGCAAAATTTTATGGCCAGTATATTTATATGATAAAATGAGTTTTTATGGGTAAATTTGGTACCGTTGGAAAATAAGTCTTGACCTGGAGTTGTGCCTTTTATATCATTCTCACCAATAGTCAATTTAGGATGATAAGTATTTAGGCTGCATTCGAAAATGCTATATCTCTTGATACATAATTAAGAAATGACCTTGTATCTCGTGAACTATTGACATTTTTAAAGATATAAGCTCATTCCGATGTTACACTCATCGAGACCTTTCATTTGAGTACCCACATCACTTTTTCATATATTTATATATATTACATATATGTATATATGAAAAATATATGAAAATGCATATGGGTACTCAAATGAAAGCTCTTGGTGAGTGTAACATCGGGATGAGCTTATATCTTTAAAAATATCAATACTTAAGAAAGTATAGTGCAATTTAACATAATTAAAAAACGACCTTGTATCCTGAGAACTAATGACCTTTTTAAAGATATAAGCTCATCCTGATGTTACACTAATCAAAGCCTTTCATTTGAGTACCCATATCAATTTTTCATATATTTATGTATATTATATATATGTATATATGAAAAATATATAAAAAATGCATGTGGGTATTCAAATGAAAGGTCTCGATGAGTGTAACATCGAAATGAGCTTATATCTTAAAAAATGTCAATAATTAAGAAATTGCATTGTGTCTTGTCGACTAATGACCCTTCTAAAGATATAAGCTCATCCCGCTGTTACACTTATCGAGACCTTTCATTTGAGTACCAACATCATTTTTTCATATATTTTATATATTTATATATTTCACAAATACCGTATATATATATAAAATATATGAAAAATGCCATGTGGGTACTCAAATGAAAGCTTTTGATGAGTGTAACATCGAAATGAGCTTATATTTTTAAACACATTAATAGTTAAAAAATACAGTGGAATTTAACAAAAGTCATTACTTAATAAAGCAAAATATTTATTCATAGTTCACAAGTCACAGCAGTCACATAGTGACTGCAAAATTGCTAGTTTATTATCGTTGTAAATTTATTAATTTACAGCGATGTCACGAGTTCAAATAATAATGTTTGGATTGCTGAGTATAAAATGTAACATCTAACATTTAGATGTGAGCTAAGTCCAAGTCCAAGATGAATCTGTATGCTGGATCTATAACATAAAAAATAAAATGACAAGAGCTGGACTCCAATGTAAGTAAAGACCAGTTATATTTTTATTTTCTTCCTCTTAATTAAACGTAATTCTTTATTTCAGCAGCTGGAGCATGGACACTACCACTACCACCACAAGTACTAACTAATCTTAGGCTGACACGAGCACGAGTTGTTAGCTGTAGCATCTACCATAAGCAGAGCTGTTTTTCTCGAGCGCAAATCATCAGCTTGATCCCGGTCTCGAACCTCGCACGCGCTCGTACCGCCCACCTCAGTCTCCAGCCTCCTATTCAGCTTCAGCTTCTTCTTAAATCGCAACACCTACGTACGACTTGCTCGAGACTCTTCATCAACCTCAACCAGTACTGGTTTAATATACTCATTAAAATAAATTATTTATTTATTTCTTCATATTCACTCTGCTCACCATTTTTATTTTTATTTTTATTTTTTTTTCTGTCCCCAGCTTCCAATTAATGCCGATGGAGTACCAATAAATATAATAACTAATACCCAGCCTGTACTTGGTATTAAATTCTGGTAATTTAATTCTCAAACCAGTAAACAGTTATATCACCCGACATTTGAATTTAAAATCAATGTCCTCTTACGCAAGAGCAAAACTGTTTTGCGAACGCTCTTCGTTCCAGGCTTTATTGCTCTCAATCTTAGACAATAGACATATATAACATGCCGGTCTGTTTAATCATAAAGAGATTCACCCTATACTCATCTCGGCAATGTCTTAGTGATGTTGTGTGTTGTATTATATTATATATCAAGACCAAGTCTATTATTATCGGTGGCATTGTGTTGACGATCAAGAAACTAGTCGACATAACAAACACATTGCTATATATGTGAGCACATGGATCACGACAGTGTGGGTGGCAAGTTAATCTCCGTACCGGAGTTGTAATGATAATAATTATTATCATCTTCTTCGGAATAATCGGTGTAATTTTATGGTCTACTGAGAAACGCGTGGATCCGTTCATCATCTAATATATCACTGATATATTGAGGTATTTATTGCTATTAGAATTGACATTTTATCGATATAATACCTTCAGATTTTCACCGGTTTTATTTTATTAGGTGTACGTGACTGTGATTATATTAGTTTTTTATTTTTATTATTTAATAGTACTATATTTTTTAAAGGTCTTGATTTGAATTTATGCCTTTTCAAGGTTTTGTATCATTTTAACGGATATTCAATTTATTATGATAATTATTGAGGCTGAATTTGAATTTCTAAATACATAATTAAGATATAAGCTTGTATCTTGTGAACTATTGACATTTTTAAAGATATAAGCTCATTCCGATGTTATACTTATCAAGACCTTTCATTTGAGTACCCACATCAATTTTTCATATATTTTATATATTTATATATATATATATATATATTTCACAAATACCAAATATATATAAAATATATGAAAAATACCATGTGGGTACTCAAATAAAAGGTCTCGATGAGAGTAACATCGAAATGAGTTTATATCTTAAAAAATGTCAATAATTAAGAAATGATATTGTATCTTGTGAACTATTGACCTTTTTAAAAATATAAGCTCATCCCGATGTTACACTCATCGAGACCTTTCATTTGAATACCCACATCAATTTTTCATATATTTTATATATTTATATATTACACAAATACCATATATATAAAATATATAAAAAATACTATGTGGGTACTCAAATAAAAGGTCTCGATGAGTGTAACATCGAAATGAGTTTATATCTTAAAAAATGTCAATAATTAAGAAATAGCATTGTATCACATAGTGACTGCAAGGTTGCTATTTATTATATTAATT